CCTGTTGACCAGGACTCGTTGGCAACTGCAGATACCAGTCGAGATCCGTGGTTGCGCTGCTCAAACAGAACCACCACGAGTCCCAGCGATCGAGCATTATCCTGCTTTGTCATGGCATTCACTAGTGTTTTGGCATGCTCAACATATCTCTTGATTGGTTCTGATTATACAAAGTTGGTGTTTATTCAGTATAAATCAACTGTAAAACCTGGCTTCTATGACAATATACATGAATACCTTTACGGCCATGAAGAAGAAACAAAACTGCAACATCCGACTGCTGCAGATGTTGATCAACACAACTGCGCACAATCGTAATAGGAATTCCTCCAACTGCTTGCTCCTCAATCAAACAGTCCATATCTTGTAATAAATGATTACATCAACTGTTTGATAATAAACCAATTTATCCTGACAAATCGGATAAATCGGATAAATCCAAGACTCGAGATTCTTGTCAACGCAATCAATTAAATCCCATCTCAGCCAACTCCAACTCTCGCATATTCCGTGCAATATCCAGTTTACAATAAGGAATGCCAAGAGTCTTCTGCATCACTGCAATGATCCCATGCAACTGGAAAATCTCTCTGCATTGGTCTCCATATAATGTGCGAAACAATCCTTCGGCATGTCGAGCAATCTTGATCCCTTTTTCCGCATCAACTGCCATCATAAAATACGCCATTTTGTTGTGCTCATTGGCGGCTTCAATACTGGTGAGTCCAAATATACCTTCAACAATGCGGATCGAGCTTTCTAATAGTTTTTCACACCATGAAAGTAATATGCGGTTGTCCCCCTGTTTGGCAAGCTGCACATTGAGCGAGGCAAGATTGTCGTACATACAACCAAGTCTGCTCGATGAGGGATGCATGATTGATTCTAGGTCAGTTTGAATGCCCTGCAGTGTTTGGATGAGGCTGGCTACGTTATCATGTTTTCTATGGTCTTGGCATTCATGCCATACTGCATCGATCTTGGCCATAACCTAAATACCAAATCCCACAATCAATCCGTCTCAGTATCATGCTCTTTGTCATCAGCTGTAACGCGTTGGACGAGGTTGGAAACTACAAGCTAATGTCAATTCCACATATTGCTACCTTTTGCTGGCGAGAAATGTCCACAATAGAATGGCATTTGGGACATCGAGGTTCCCCCTCATAAAGCGGGTAAGGACATCCAGGACACTTTAAACCAGCCAACTGTCGATCCTTGGTATCATCTTCAGATATGCATGCTGAACATCGACACTCGAATCCCCAGCCTGCTTTTAAATTTTGTTGTCTAGTCGCCCTCAAGCTACGTCCAGCAGATTCGCCCTAGTATTTGTCCACATTAGTTTGTATAGTCGTCAGAAAAACGAGTCTGCCCTTACAAAATCAATTTGCAAGTGTTTGTGGAATCAACCCAACGTTACATAGGATATAGTGATGGCATTTCCTTTACGGATATTCTTGGATGCTCTAATATAAAGATGCGATGCCTGGAAATAAACTAAAGCAGTCGGCTCACAGCTACTGATATAGTTAGCTCTGAATAGTCAAAAGCTAATATACAACACTACTCTTACCTGTGGTTGATGAGTGATGCAGTTGGGTATATGCCCGATCCAGTACGGATTTCACGCTGACTGGTGATCTCTTCATCCATATCTGAATGATCAAAACAGGTAGTGGATATGCCAATACAATTGCAACTACCAATACAAGTTAGAACTAAAAAATCCATCGACTTTGAATCATTCACTACTTGGTCTTTTTACAGCCATATTCACGTAAAATAAATCACTAAACAACGCCATTGCAAGTGTTCCATTTCACATGAATACGACCGTAAATCACATACCTGATTTGCATCATTAAACGCATCAGCATAGAACGATCAAGTCGGTCTTTAGTATCGGTG